ATCGACCACCTCTCTAGGAAGCCTGTTCCAGTGTTTGACCACCCTCTTGGTAAGGAAATGCTTCCTAATGTTCAGCCTAAACCTCCCTGGTGCAGCTTTGAACCATTCCCACGTGTCCTGTCGCTGAACCAGGGAGAAGGGTTCAGCACTTCCCTCTCCCCATCCCCTCCTCAGGAAGCCAGAGAGAGCAATGAGGTCGCCCCTCAGCCTCCTTTTCTCCAAGCTAGACAAGCCCAGCGTCCTCAGCTGCTCCTTACAGGACGTGCCTTCCAGCCCCTTCGTCAGCTTTGTTGCCCTCCTCTGGACACATTCAAGTACCTTAACATCCTTTTGAAATTTTGGGGCCCAGAACTGCACACAGTACTCAAGGTGAGGCCACACCAACACTAAATACAGCGGGATCATCACCCCTTTTGACCAGCTGGTTATGCTGTATTTGATGCACCCCAGGGTGCAGTTTGCCCTCTTGGCTGCCAGGGCACACTGCTGGCTCGTGTTGACCCTGCTGTCAGCCAGCACCCCCAGATCCCTTTCTGCAGTGCTGCTCTCCAGCCACGCCACTCCCCTCCCAATTTATGCTTGTGCCCAGCATTACTCCATCCCAGGTGCGCTGTTTATACTTGAGTAGACGAGTAAAGATCATTTATCGGTGTAAAAATAGGAACCTGTTAAGAACAACATTAGGGCAACAGGAAAATATGAAAACTCTACGAATTAACAGGATGTCACTTACTTAGCAGAAATCTTTCAGAAGGCAGCACTTTCCTCTTTACGTGATTTGTTTTTCTAAATAGCTTCAAACAATGCATGTGCTAATATTATTTTCAAGATAGGCTGCCAAGAATGCAAAGCATTTGAAGAACTATTTTAGAGAGAGGGAGAATTTTGAGAGAGGGAGGGGATTTCTCATTTCTCTAATACATCTTGCACTTGGACCATCTCTGCATGATCAATAATACTATCAGCTCTGCAGTCGTAAGAGTGTGTGAAAGGGAGCATAACTGAAACAGTACAAGTAACATATGAGTTTGGTATCAGAGAAAAAAGAGACCTAGTAACTGAACATCTTGCATTGAGATACCAACTTCTGTTCCATATATGCAGCAGGCTCATTTAATACCATTAGGTAAGCTGCTTACCTTCCACATCGTTGATACCCAACGTGAAAGACGTGGCCTAGGACCACCAGGATCCTAAAAAAAAAGTACTTTCTGTCTTCCTAGTTTCCCCACTAATTTTTTATTGGGAAGTTAGCCAGAAATCTTGAAAACTGGCTTGCAAAGTATAGCAGTCAAAACTCAAAGTGGATTCTCCTCTTTTCCCTAAAGGAGACCCAGCAGTGTGCAAGGCACCTACAGCAGAGAATAGAAACACTGAGCTACAGAAAAGCTGACATGAAAGAGCAAGGTTAAGACAGTCAAAACAGATCTTCACTCTAAGCTGCTGGCTCTTGAAACACAGACACAAATCAGAGGGAATTCTTCTGCCAAGTCAAACAACTGGGGAATAGGCACACAGTATGATCTGCAAAATCTGGCATTATACAGAATCATGGAAGAATGAACAAAGGAAATTAAAGAAAAACCTGCAGAGAGAGTGGTGTTCTTACCCAAAAGCTTGCTCCCCATTTGCATGCTGACCAATTATGACAAGTTGCAGATTTCTCAAATGCCACGTTAAAAATTTGTGATATTAAAAAGAAATATTTGTTTTATTTCTGAGCCTTTAAGGTTCTCATCTCATTTTCCAACATGAGAGCTATGAATGGAATACTTGAAAAACATCTTGAGATATGACCAAGCAGGTCACTTCAGCATCAACGACAACACACAAAAGAGGTTTTTGAAAATAAGTCTATTGTAATCATATACAAATCAGAACATTTGTAAAACAGACTAATCAAAAGATTTAAAATAACGATTTTTTCTAGCAAATTTCTGAGAACCAATATTTCACCTACTGTAGCAGAAAAATTTATGAGGTTAGGTATCTTCGGCACAGCAAAAAAAATGAGTTAGTTGTTAAAGGAAGAGAAAAAGACATTAAAAGAGTGAAGTGTTTTCACAGTTGGAACCTGAAAAAAAGCAGATACCTAAAGATACATTAAAAGAGAAATAAACAAATTTGACCAATTTAAGCATAGGAAAGGTATGAATTTACAGATATAGAATACAATAAAATCAAACAGGTGAAATTGTTTTAATCAATCTTAAAAAAAATGTTAAAAATTGCATACCTCTCATAAGGTAAAATTGTCTAAGAGCTTTAGATAAAAAATGTTATAGGGGCACCATATCAATAGAGCTAAGTTACAAAATGTCGTGTAGAGTACGAATACAACAAAAGGTAAACTTGATCTCTTACCTTAACAAAGCAATGGAGTGCATTTGCAATAGCAATTTTTAGTTCGTTAGTAAAATCAGGAGGAAGGGCCCTCCCTAGTCCATGACATTGCCCTGCACAAGAATGGAAAAGCAGTCGCCTCTTCTTCATTTGTTTTTAGGGGTTTGAGGTTTTGTGGGTCATGATTTCAACTCCCTGCAATCACAAGGTCTAGAGAGAGTCCCACCATCACTGCTTCCCACCTATAAAGCCAACAAGGATTTCATTATAGTTGACTGAGAAAAATAAAATAGCAAGAGGCAATATCATTTACTTCCTGCTTCTTTTAGTAGAACCAGCAGCAGAGGTTTCTGGCAGAGCTGTTAATGCTCATGTTTGAGGACATGCCTTACCAAAGCTCCCAGATGTCACCACTGCAGCCTGCTGGCATCCAGGATGCCAGCTACCTTCAGGTGAGCTCCTGATACTCCAGCACTGTTTGACCATACTGCTCCCAGCCAAGAACAAGATGATGATTCCATTTCCTTCAGCATTTCTCAAGTCACAAGACAAAGTTGAGAGCAAATCTTCAACAACAGCCCGTCAATGATGCTGTACCTGCCTATTCCAAAAGTCTTGGTTTGGGGATCACTGAGTCACCTCTCATTTGGAGAGAAAATCCAAGGCAGGAGAGTGCAAAAAGAACGCACTGAGAGGAGCTACCCAGAAAAGCAACCATGCAGTAACATCTCCCCATCCCTCATGAAGCTGCTACCTGTTGCCAGCTACAGCACAGGCACAGATCTGGGGACCAAGGACATGCCACAGGAGGAACAGCTGGAGAACTGCATGCCCTCTGCCTCCTACTCAGAAAACAGAAATGACCCCTTTTCCACTCAGCTGATTTTTGAAAGATAATAGGGAAATGAAGTAGCATAATTTGCTTTTCCTCGAGGAGTTTTAACTCCCTTCTCTTCAGCACCTCTGCAGACTAAGTTAGTTGGAGAGGTGCAACCCATGCCTACCCTTCCCACCCACCACAGGAGGAAAAGGAGAGGAGCCCACATGCCCCACCCCAGCATGCTTGCAGGCACAACACCCAAGCAGAGACAACTTGGCAAGACGAGTTGTGATCTCAGCTGCACTGAGCATTTGTATGAGGATCTCTAGCTGGGCTTTTGTTGTTTCCCCTGTTTTTAGACTCCAGACCCATCCTGTTTGGTTTGGTGACCTCTGGCACATACTGTAGGCAAATCCACAAAAACTTGGGCTGTTCCAAAAAGGAGTGGATTTGTTTCAGTTGTTATATAGCGGTTATCTGCAAAACACTCATTTATTGTCTTTTCATCTCTCTCTATAGCCCCTTGGGTTATTTTGGCCACATACACCAGCTATGTTGGAATTACAGGGACAGCTACAGAATTGCAATTCAGAGGAAAAATAATAGATGACCCTGGATCTCCAGCTTTTATTGCTTTTTAATTTATATTCACATTTAAATGTGAATTTATAATAAGCATTCTGGGCTATTTACTAATTCTCCAGACAATATTATCAATAAACTTTATTAAACATATTTACTCTAGGAATTAATTTTATTTGATGACTGAGAATATCTCTGCTTCGCTTTTGTATAGATTGTCACACGTTCAACACAGGACACTACTGTTCAGTCTGAAGCGGAGGGAGAAGTCTGTACAGACACTGATACACACCTTCCTTGTGAACGTGGGCAAAGCACTCCTCACAGCATCTTGCAATTCTGCTTACAGAGTAACACTTCGATGTATTTCTCCCATCATCGCTCACTGCATCCTCTGTAGAGGAGACAGACCCCAGAACACGAATTGCTCAATTTGGCCCCCAAAAGCATTTTTCACACATTCAAGAACAAGCAAGATTTTTTTAAAAATTGATGGACTCTACAGAGCATTTATAGACAACAGATTATGCTCCCAGTTCCAAAAGGGCTACTGAATGCTTTAGGTGGTCATTACTATAAAGATATTCCACATCAAAAGCCACCTTTCAGAAACCTCCTGCTCCATCACAGTGTGGTAGCCTGACATTTCATTGCTTTGTCTGCTTTCCAGCATGACATGCGCTAAATCTAAGGAGTTGCTTGTGTGTCTGTTCATGTCTCCATTCAGCACTATGCCCGCTCTCCTCTGCTTCCTCCTGCATTTAACAGTGTAGGACAGAGACACATGCATGGCATTAGGAAGTATTTCTCCCATTGCACTACTTTGGATTTGCCTCCTGTTTGCTTGCTTGGCATCAGGGAATTTTTCTCAAGGACAGTTTTGCACAAGTAGCTATGTTAAGCTCTGTTCATACTGCTTCAGGACAGAGATACAATATTCAAGCACAAGCTTTGGAGTGAGGATCACTGCAGTGAGTAACAAGAGATCTTAATGGATGCCTTGAAGGCTCTAAAGCTAGAGAAATGTAGAAGGCATACCATTTCAGTGTATATCTCCAACACAACCTGATGCCTTGTCCATTTCAAAACAGGAGATATTAGCAAGTGGTTTGGTTTAGGAGCATCAGCTCACAGAAGGACCGGGAACCTACCGTACTTCTGTGCTGCTTTTTTCAATAAACACCGAATAACTGCAGGGGTAAAAGTGAACTGCTACGTCTGTTCATGACTATAATTGCTGTGTTTTCTCTTCCAGCTCATCCTTGCCACATGGGAAGGAGGCTACAATTTGCAGTGCCAGAACCTCCACGGCGCAGGGGAGGCCGACATCCGGGTGAGAGACAGCAGCCGCTCGGCCCCCAGCACCCGCAGCAGCCCTTCCCCCGGTGCAACGCTTCTGCCTTCGCGGCAGTTATAAGGATGCTACTGAGGACATCTTTAACACGAGGGTTTTAATCAAGTTGCCTAACAGCTGGTAGCAAACAAGAAGTGTTATCTTTCTGATTCAGTGCAGACGAATCCTTGCTGTAGAAAGCATGACAGGGAGTATTTTTGAAAAACCATATATCAAGTTTTGTGATCAAAACAGTGTTGCCTAACTATTAAAACAGAGAATAGGGATCATTTAAAAACTTGGAACAAAAATCAATCATCTAAAATGTAACACTTGTTGGCCTGTAGCTGGAAATGGATTTAAGCCCAACTCTAAACTCTGGAAAACTGCAGAGACATTTTGCTGGCTTGGCTCATCTCTAGTTTCAACCCGTATTTCTGCATCACAACAATTCCATGTATTAAACCTCTGTCATTCCCCACGTCAGGCTTACTTCCCAGATAACGTTAGAGCTCAAGGGTAGAAAGATTAGTTAAATTATATAATTTTCCCCAGCCCTCAAAATTTGTCTGTGTTACAGCAAGGAAAAGGACAGTTAAATACCTTTTCCCATCAACAAGGTGTTTTGCCCATTTCTGTTTTAACTGTCTTTAACTGTCCTGGGACATATCCTGAGCTCTGATAAAGTGTCTCAACTCTAGAGGAGGGTATATTCCATTGAGTCGAGTGTCAAATTTGGATTATTTAAAAAGAAGCTACCAGCAATATCTGTTCAGTGCCAGGAAAGCATAAACAGTAGCACCCTTAAACACAAAAAACCCCCACACAACTGTATCTTTGATGAAAAAAACAGAACAATTAGAAAATCCTTCCTCAAAGTTTATATTTTTTAGATTAGATTTAGATAATTATATATTTATACAATCACATTAAAAATGATGCATTTTTTCTAAACTACTTCATTCAAAAGGGAAATAAAATTGAAGCTAGGGCTTGTGCTCCTCCTTCAATAGAACATTAATGCCTTTTGGGAAGTTGCATGCCTAGGGACTGATGGAGTACAGCAATATTTAAGCCCTTTTATGGACAGGTACTGATCTCCTTCTCCTTTGTTCTTGCTTGTACAGGTAGCCAAGGTGCTGTGGTGGTATTATTTTTCCAAAGTAATTGAATTCATGGACACTATCTTCTTTGTGCTGAGAAAGAAAAGCAGCCAGATCACCTTCCTTCACGTGTATCACCATGCCACTATGTTTAACATTTGGTGGTGTGTTCTGAACTGGATACCTTGTGGGCAAAGTAAGTCTGTGTTCACTTCATCACCTGGGGTATAAGTCACCTGTTGCTGGAAAAGAATCACATCACCATGCAAAGCAAGCATATCACTGACAGCGTCATTAACATTCATAGCCTTTCAGAACTGCCGAACACTTGCAGATTACAGTAAAGTTAAAAGCATGGTTAAAAGTTCAGGTAAAAAAAAAAAAAAATAAAAATCTGTGCTAGGCCCTGGATTTTCCACTTAGCTGCCACAACCCTTCATATTTACTTCTCTTCAAACTGCTTTTAGACAGGATAACAGTGCTGAGTAGTACACAAGGGTGATCACACACAAGACCTACTCCAAAAGCAGATGTAGGAGGAAATCATGACCCTAGTAAAGTCTGTGTCAATCACGACAAGTGAACTCAATAGCATTTGTACAAGTTTGACTCCTGTATGCATCAGACACGCTGCTTTAGCAAGATACTTTACTTATGTGATCGCTAATGACAATACCAGTTTGAGTTTGTTTTGTTTTCAATGAGAATACATCTCATTCAAGTAGCAGAACTACTGGACAGCCAGAACTGATCGATACGGTCTTACATTTCATATCGAAAGAGCAGCCGTAGCAGCATCCTTTGTCTTATTATATTTTGGGTTCAATTTATTTCACAACAGTAATCTCTAAATGACTTGGCTCTTAGAAGGATATTGTAATTATCATTATCTCCCCTGCAGAGGTGGGGAAGGTGTACGGTGTCACAGGCTGGTCACTTGGCATTTGTATACTAAGTCCAAACAGCAAAGAACTGCTTCAGGTGCCTCACAACATGCACCCTTGCCCAGGGCTTCGTGCAGCCGGAGGCTTCCTGTGGCACTGTTATCAGAGCCAAGACGACAATCAGTTTTCTTGCTTTGAGCTATTACAGGGAGTCACCTCAGTCTGCTGCAATATTTTGTAAAGCAACTTGTTGCAGGTGTTTTCCAGAACAAATAGCAGGATTCACATTTGTTCGCACTTATTACGGACAGCACAAAATCAAAGTAAATCACTGTTATAAATAGAAGCAGAGATCAAGGATTTCATAGCAATTATGAGCTGTTTCTACAGAGATGTTAACAAACTAGTGGGGGCTTGTGCTTTCTCTTGTGTCTGAACATATTCCCCACACTTTGCACTATTATAATTAAGAGAGTAGAAAAATCAGTAGCTAAGTAATTAATCAGTAATTATTAAGTAATTAATCAGTGGAAAAATCAAAACAATTGGTGACACCATATTGTAGTTGTCAAGCACTGCCATCCACCACATGAGCATACAGCAGATAGAGTAGTGCTGCTACTTCTCAATAGTCCATAAGGTACAGAAGGTAATTCATTTGCTCTAGAATTAGTATTTACTAAAAGTAGCTAATTAGAGGGGCAAGGCATTATCTGGAGTGAAATTCTGGAAATCTGCATCTAGCAGAAGAGCCACTGAAGAAAATGAGAGCGGTGCTCAAACACAGCCACACGAGGCTAGTTTAATTCAGAGTAAAGCCCTTACTACTGCCTCAGGGAGCAGGAGAGCGGGTGCCTCTCAGGGCGCTAAGCTGTGGTACCAGCAGCACAGTCACCCGCAGCGTCAGCTAAAGCTTAGAGTGATAACGAGACTCCTACAAATAATGTTTGGGAGGGGAACGAAAGCAATAACCTGTAAACTGCAGAAAAGGAAAGAGAAAATGAAAAATACGGGATGAAAATACAATATTCAGCTTGAGAAAAACTCTGTAAGAAGTAGCATTCAGTTTGCCAGTTGTCCTTAGGGCAGCATCTCTTCACATCAGGAATGTCTTTAGCAAAGGTTAAAAGCACAGAGAGAAGACTTACCATATGCAGGAGACCTTGCTAACGATAGTATCTTCTCTCACTTTTTAGCAGTTGGCATATAAAACGTTTCCCTTGTTGGATTTTTATAGGTTTCTTTGGACCCACTTTGAATAGCTTTATCCATGTGCTCATGTATTCTTATTACGGACTATCAGTCATCCCTTCTATGCGCACGTACCTGTGGTGGAAGAAATACCTCACTCAGGCACAATTGGTGTGTATCTATTTTGATCTTTTTTTTTAACGACCAGAAATCCTTCAAAATACCAGAGTTGAATGATAAATATTGTCATTTGCAGAATTAAGGCAGTTAGAATTCAAATATAACAAAGCTATCATACAGAATAAGTCACTAGTCCAGCTTGTGTAACTTAATAAAGGAAACGATGCTCAGAAATATTTTCTACAATACAGTAGAAACTCTACGGTCTGTAAAATTCCATTATTTTTTATCTCTTGCATAGAAAATGGACATTGCTTAATCATGACAAATGGACTGATTAAAAAGTTATAAGAACTGTCTGACAGAGCCAGGTCCAACCAGCTCCAAGACAGACCCACCACTGGCCAAAGCTGAGCCCATCAGCAGAGCTGGGGACACCTGTGTTATATCATATTTAATAAAGGGTAAAAAATGCTGCACAGCAGCTGAGAGAGAGGAGTGACAAAATGTGAGAGAAACAGCCCTGCAGACACCCAGGTCAGAGCAGAAGGAGGGGAGAAGGGGCAGAGATTTCCCTGCAGCCCCTGGAGAAGACCATGGTGAAGCAGGCTGATGCCCTGCAGCCCATGGAGGACCACAGTGGAGCAGATCTCCACCCTGCAGCCCACGGAGGACCCTACGCTGCAGCAAGCGGACATGCCCTGAAGGAAGCTACAGCCCATGGAGGAGCCCATGCAGAAACAGGCTCCTGGCAGGAGCTGTGGCCTGTGGGGAACCCAAACTGGAGCAGTCCATTCCTGAAGGACTGCACCCCATGGAAAGGACCCACGCTGGAGCAGTTCTTCAAGAACCGCAGCCCATAGGAAGGACCCATGTTGGAGAAGTTTGTGCAGGACTGTGTCGCATGGGGGAGACCCCACACTGGAGCAGGGAAAGA